AGATCATTATTTTAATAGATTATTTTATATGACTGTTATATTGTCAACTTAAATCAATTGTATGTTTCAAGAAGAGAAGCAAAAAGACACCTTTTGAACAATAACATTTGAAATCCTTTTTTCTGTGATTTAAAATCTTTTTGAAACAAATTTTGATTTGGTTATAAGAAAACAGCTGCTATTTTTTCAACCGCTGCTGTGCACAAACGCACAGGTTGCCAAACTGAAAATTTACGTTTTCCAACCCATCTTTCCCCCGAAAAGCCTAACGCGAAATGAAAATAATTTGGCGGTCGATTTCTACGCATGTAGAAGTTTTAAATTTATGTTTTATTGCTGACGTTATTTGTTTACACGCACATTTGGCGCGGGATTTAATGTAACCAATAGATCTGCTGACGCAGTAGCATCCCCCAATCCCAATCCATCTCAATCAGGCGATTGTTTAGCAAGTTAACCAACAGCCAGAGGAAGCCCAAATAGACAAATCATTTCTGGCTGTCAATTGCAATCGATCGGCTGTAAATGTTCGATTTCTTAATTACTGCAGGCCTCTCACTTTGTGAAAAAGAAGAACGGACAAAAAACAATCGCAAGTTGCAGCAGCAAAATATTTCGTTTACTTTTAATTGAGCCTGCGTTTGCGGGTTTCTTTTTCTGTGTGTTGGCCCACGCTTTATGCTCTAATTCAGATGGTTAGAAATCGATTGCAGAAAAAAAAAACAAACAACAACCGAGAGTTAACCATCAGCGAATCAAAAAATCCAAGCTTAACCCTTTCAGCGACTTCTGTTTACATTTCAAAGTTTCTTAAAACCCATACAAGGCTAAGCAATGAATCAGCGAAAAGAGGAATAAATTATATACCTACAGTCACTATTTTATAATTTAAACTTAGGTGCTGCCGATCAATAAATACTTTGCCACAATTTGAAGACTTGCAATTTATATAACTTAATTTCTGTCTTTATTTTTAATAGTTTTTTAATCTGAATTTCAAATTGCTATGTGGAAGCCTATAGTAAATATCTTGTTATAAACAAAATAATTTTTAAATAATTATTAGAAATGTAATTTTTTTATACCTTAAAAAGGCAACCTACAAAGGATGTTTGTAAGTATGTATAAAATACTATCTTAATTTTTAATACAGAAAATGTCTTGTAATAAACATTTTACCATCAGTGTTATACGTTGGTTCAATATTTGCAAGTAATACTGTTTATTATAAAACCAAACATTTGTTGCTTGCTTTTTCTGCTGCCGCACAAATTATGTAAATTGCCTGGCACATCTAAGGGTTAAGCGAACGCTTAACGCTCAAGTGAAAATTGGTGAAAATCCACACAAATGTGTCAACAAGTGACATGCAACAACAACAAAAGCGATATAACAACAACAGCAAGAGCGTAGGCAATGAAAACAACAAGAAGCAGACTTTCCAGTGAATTAACTCCCCCTGAAGATTCTTTAGGCTGCAACCGAATCTACATCTACATCTATATACATCTAAAGATCCGGTTCAGCAAGTTTACCGCAAGCTAGTTACACTACAACAAAAAAAACAAACATCTATGTGTATGCCGGACACCTGCGGTTAAAATAATAGTGCATAAAACAAGAAAAGACGCTAAGCAAAGTTCATATACACTTGAATTTAAAAGATGAATACAGTTCTGATTTTATGAACATGTTTTCCCCCGATTGTTCACAGACGTTTAACCAAATTTATATTGTTAAGTACAGAACTTAGAATCTATATATGTAGTCTAGTCGAATTAATAATAGCTTCTGCAGGAGTACATTGAATAAATTCCTGTAGTCTAGCACACGAACTGAATACTAATTTTCCTGGTAATACATCCCGAATAATAATTCTTTTCACTTGTCTTCCATTAATTTATGATGTTGTCGAACACTATTTGTTTGGTGAAAATATATTAAAATGCCTTTGCAGAATTTATGGGTATTGTAATGATTTCACTGAAGCCTAATAAATTGTCTATGTTCATTAGTTTTAAAAACGTTTTCCAAATTAAGTGTTACTTGAAGTTTTACTTAAGAAAAAATTAGTTAAAAACTTACATATTATAAGAAAGCAAGCAAAGTTAATTATATTTTATTTGAAGTTCTTGCCCCCGTCGTATGTATAAAAAGTTTGAAGTCGGTTTTAAACTATTCTGCTCTTTTAATGTTAGTGTTTTTTATCTATTTAGGAAACAATTTATTTTTTCTTCAAACTCGAGCATTATTGCGGCATATAAAAAAAAAAAAACAAAAAAAAACATCATTTTAAATGAATGCTCAGTTATTGTCTAAAGTAAATACAATAAACACGATTGTTAGCAATGGAATGTCCAAGTAGACTTAATCATCGACTAGTCATTCACAGATTTCCTTAGTAAATCATTAGATTTCTGATGTTATTTACTTAAATTCTTTAAGGAAATAATTTAAGACGTATTCATCGCGATATTTTTTGAAAGCATTCAGAATGAAGTGTTTAGTTACAATGAAAACGCGCAACTTTTTTGACAATGGAATGTCTGAAATGACTGAATCACGGTTTGGTCACTTTCACTGATAACCGAGATCCCTCTCGAATTTTTCTGGTGCTATTTAAAGGAGCCTCATAGTGGCGAATGCCCCACCTTCTTTGGACTCACCTGTGCAGTCGCTCCGTTTGCTCGACTTCGTTCTGCAGATCGTTGATGGCGAATAGCTCCATTTCGCCGCTGCGCCCGAATATTCCATTGGGTATCTTGCGCAGGAACTTCTTGAGAACGCTGGCGATGGTGAACACCGAATAGTTGTCCACGTTGACCAGTCGTCCGGCCTGCAGGAAGTGGATGAGTTTCTTCATAGCGCCCTGATGTCCGGGGGCGCGGAATACATCCCGGCGATTTGGGGACTCCTTGTTCAGCTTGAGGATCAGGACGAGCAGGGGTCCGGGAATGTTGTTGTTATGCTTGCAGACCTCTTCCAGTGGCACCCCGAATTTTACCTTTTCCAGGCGATACGGATAGGCCGGGGCGGTGGCGGGGTGGCCACAGGAGGTCACCACGTTGCCCAAATCCGCGGCACGCCTGTGGACGCGTTCTGCCCAGCTGGACATGGTTTTTCACGCGGTTTTCTCGCTATTTTCCTATGCGTGCGTGTGTGGGTGTGTATATGTGTGCGAGGTTTCACGAGCAGGGGAAAATGTGCTCGGCAGATTTTATGGTTTTATGCTGGCCAAAAACATGTTCACTTAACTGGAATGTTAGTTGCTTCGCTAGCTCTTAACACAGGAATTGATATTTAATTCGTATATTTTTTTATCCTATTTTTGAGTCTTATTTGAAAAGCCACAACTTTTGTTTTTCTGCCAGCTTTGATTAAAAAATCGCCACCACTCCTTCTGTATGCATTTTTTTTTCTTTCGCGTCTCCCTTTTCCACTGCGTTTCTTCGTTTCTTTTTTCGCTTTTCTTCTTTTTGGCCAACGCCTCGGAGCTTTGCTTTTGCTTTTTTACGGCTCAGCTTGCTGAATTAAACGCTCGACTCTAGGATTCTGTTTAATTACATCGAAAACGCGGAGTTTGGCGTACACTGTCGGTTAGTTTTGCACTAGTTTAGTTGTGTTATTCGGGGAGTGTTTAATTATTTTGTGGCGTTCGCCCGCACGCACGACTTTTTTCGCTGTATATTATGAACGGAGTGTGACCGTCAAGTGAGCGTCGCAAAATACCAGAGGCTTAGGGGAATATACCAAAATGGCCGTAGCAAATACCTAAATCCAGCCAAAATAAATTACTTGTTAAGGGTACTCCACAATTTTATTTTGATTTTACACTTTTGGCCAAAAGCACAAAAAAGGAAGATATCACTATTTTTTTCTTTCAAAACTATCAATGTAAAAATAAAATAAAAGCCGTTGATAAAATTAACTCCAGAGAATTTGACAAACTTATAATCTTCGATTACCCAGGGTGCAATTTGTTAACTAAATTTATGGATGGAAGTCCCTAAAAACAATAATAGCTTATTTCCACAGAGATCAATCCAAATTCCATCATCCGTTGAAGGGTAAGGTTTTGCCGTTCCAAAAACATCCTAGTTAGTCCGCCGTTAAAATTTGACGGACTTTGTTCTTGCGGTCACATTTGTTGAAAATTCCAAACGTTTCCAACGGATGGACTGTGTGGAAAGAGGGCATAAAACCAATAACTTGATCTTAGCAAGTGAACCGGTATAATACTTACATAGCATTGTAAATCAAATATCAAATTTTATGAAGCAGATAATTTACTTACGGAATCCCCTTATTAACTATGTTATCGATGTTTCGAAACCAATCCTTGCAGCATGCATAAATTAGAAGGTGGTAGACGAAAGGTAAGAGAAGAAGGGCTGCAGTAAACAAACACATAAAAATTCCGTGAGTTTTAAAAATTAATACAATTTTATAATATAATAATATATAATAATATAATAATACATTTATAAATGTATAAATCTTTTAAAATTAATTAAATTTATATGAAATATATTTAATATATATTGCTTACATCTTATTAAATAAACACAAATTAAATTTTATGCCGTTCTGTATAATATCCAAACCTATCAGCTTGAATTGAACCTCACTGAAAACAAGGAGCTTGTGACGTCACACTCTTCATCCCTGAGAACATGCGCGAACGTCACCTTCTCAGCGGCTGAGTTAATGTTGCCATCCCTGGCATCCCTGGTTTTTGTTTTGTAAAGTGAAATTGTTGCAAGTCAAACAACAATAACAAAAATCATTAAAAACGCGTGAAAATCGGCAAAAACTCTTGGCTACACAAGTACGTACAAAGCTAAAGTCGACGTTGAAATATTAAAATCCGTTTTCCATTCACATTTCCGTTGGCAATCGGTAATTAATTTTGTGTTGTCTGCTGTGAAAGTAACAACAACAACATCAAGAGTAACGTCAAGAGCAAAAATAGTTTTCCATTTTCAAAACGACAAATATAGATGTTTTTCTACCCGTATATCAGATATCCAGATATTAGACCAAATTTTGCAGTTTAGCAAGCCCAAAGGCAAACAGTCATCGCTTTTGTGACGTGCTCACCTTGAATTCATCAGCAGGCAGCAAGATATTGACCCTGCACATAGACACTCACGGGCACAGAAATAGTAGTTACCCATTTAATATACCTCAGATAGAAGCAAATATTGATATGTTTCCTTGATGGGAAAACGTTTTTCATTGGCAGAGCACGGCGACAACTGCAATTGGGTGAACAAATGACCACCGCCGCCTCCACATCGCAGCATGCGACATCGTCCTCCACATTGATGGCGGGCTCCGGATCCCTGGCCACCTCGTCATCCACCTCCGCCGCCACCACGACCACGCCCAGCAGCTCGGCGGTGCGTGCCCTGGCCATGGAGTACAAGTCTCTGCAGGAGGAACCAGTCGAGGGATTCCGCGTCAAGCTGATCAACGACGACAATCTGTTCGAATGGGAGGTGGCCATCTTCGGGCCCCCGGATACCCTGTACCAGGGCGGCTACTTCAAGGCGCACATGAAGTTCCCGCACGACTATCCCTACTCACCGCCATCCATACGCTTCCTGACCAAGGTCTGGCATCCGAATGTCTACGAGAACGGGGATCTGTGCATATCCATTCTCCATCCGCCGGTGGATGATCCGCAGAGCGGCGAGCTGCCCTGCGAACGCTGGAATCCCACGCAGAACGTGCGCACCATCCTGCTGTCGGTGATCTCGCTGCTCAACGAGCCCAACACATTCTCGCCGGCCAACGTAGACGCCTCGGTCATGTACCGTCGATGGCGGGACTCACAGGTTAGACTGGCTCTTCTGGTCGAAGTAAATGTCTAGTATACGGACTTCCGAATTTGAAAGGCTGTTTAACTATATTGTTCAGAATCTACTTCAATATTATAGCGTTGATTTTAAAATTTGTTTACTTAACTTTTATAAAAATTTTAACCACATTCAATTTGGTTTCTTATATCAAAATGAATAAAACATGATTCTATGTCCTTATGAACGTACAAAAGTTTCCCTAATATCAATGACTTCAATATTATGAAGTTACTAGTAAGCCAAACTCTGCTCTAGTTGAATGAAGATATGCCTGTGAAGAATTTCAAATTATGTCAGCTTTAACTACACTATACGACTAAAACGCCTCGCTAGAAGTCCGTATACTAGACATTTACAACCGCTAATTGGCTCTTTAATAAGGACGTACTAATTTCAGGGTAAGGACAATGAGTACCCCAATATCATACGCAAACAGGCCCTGGCCGCCAATGCCGAGGCCAAGCGGGAGGGCATTGTGGTGCCCATGACCCTGGAGGACTATTGCCTAAAGCCCACGCGCAAGCCCACAACGGAATCGGGCCTGGATGCCAACTTTTACGATGATGATTTCGATCTGGAGACGGAGGATGATCTGCCGACAGACGATGATTTCGATGAGGACGACGACGATGATGAGGATGAAGACGAGGATGAGGAGGACAGTGCCACGGCGTCGATTAGCAAAAATAATGGCGCCAGCAGCAAGTGCAAGAACAACGGGCTGGGCAGGGAGGCGGCCGCAGCCGGAGCGGATGATGCCGAATCCGCCGACGACAGCGGCAAGGGCGAGACCACATAATGCAGCCAGACTAGAGTCGCGTCATCTTTTCCTCCCACGCCTGCCCTAAGCGGCGAGCCACCGCCTTTTCATTTCTCCAACATTATTACTATGATTAATGCTAATTATAAACGTTTCAAAACTAAACCGAACAACTGAGAAAACAATTATTTACCTAGTTTATACGAGGGTAGAATGAAACATGATCCTAAGCTGATTTTACCAACTCAATTTTAATTTAATAACTTAGATGATTCGTATAAGCTATTGGTACGGAGCGGGCTAAACTCAATTTCCAGCCTGTGGCAAGCAATTAATAGAGTTCAGGGACTTCTCCAAATCCTTTTTACGCAGTTAATAAACACAGAAACAAAACTATTAGAAACCGATCACACACGAAACTCAACCAGAAAAACTGATTATCAATATACATGATATATTCAGCATATGTACTAAGTATAAATTAAAATTTAAAAATATACATACACACATTTTTATGAGCGAAAACGAAATACAAATGTCCCAATTCGAGACACGAAATCCTATCGTACATACAGACAGGCATAGAGCATCAAGGTAAACAGCAGCAAAGCATACACATTATGAACAATCAATGGATTTCAAGAATAAAAGCAAATACGGAACCTAGCAATTAAGCCATTTTTAAGTGCAAAATTGACAGAGTAAGTTAAAAAACCAACAATTGCAATACAGAAACGAAGAACCGCATTGTATAAACAGTAACAGAATTGCAACAAAGATAAATAAGCCAAATAAAATTACTGAAAAAAATTTATGGCCTTTTAATCCGTTTGGGCTGGCTCGCATAATTGTGAATAAGAAATAATATTTTGGGTTGCTTTTTAAAAAGAGATTAAAATACTCAATTATTTTATATTTTACATTATAATTTGGTTTGCTTTTTAAAAAGAGAACAAGTTATGCAATTATTTAAGTTTTAGTTTTATATATTTTTTTCAAAAAACATCTTTTGCTCCTAAACTTAGTTTTTAATGACTTTTTCACTTTTTATTTTAAGCACAAGTATGTTTTAAAATCTCTTTTTAGGTTGACCTAGTTAAAGTTGTGTAGACACGGAAAAAGTAAACATTTTTAATTTTCAATTATTTTATTTTGTAAGAGAAATAGTCTATTAAATATCAAATTTCTCATTCTTTTATTTGAATAATTTATTTGTTCGCCTTTGTCGATAAAATTGTTTAAATTTGAGCCACGAGCTTCGCCCGTTTCCGCCAGGCCAAAAGCGCCGGCGTCAGATCCTTATCGGTAATGGCGGGCATGCGTATCAGCGAGCTATAGACTCCGATATCGGCCACCGACATCTGGGATCCGCCGAAATACTGCTGTTGCTGCAGCCGCTTGTCCAGCAATCGCACCATTGCCACCTGCGTTTTGTGTGTGCTGCAGCGCAGCAGTTGGTAGCAAATGTCCAGGACGAGATCGATCTCATTGCAAAGGGGAGAGCCCTCGTAGCGATATTCGGCGGGACCCACACGACCCAGATAGCGGATGATGTTCACCTCCCCGTAGATGGGTACGTACATGGTGGGCGAGCTGATCATCTCGGTGTGTTCGCCTGCGAGGTGATCAAAACCAAGGTTTTAAAATCAAAAAGTTTTCATTAACGACAGGTTACGTACAGTTTTTCCAGATGAGCGTTACATTAATCTTGGGCAGAGCGGGGTTCACAGGCACCTTGGCCAAATTGGCCTCGAATTCCCGAGCAGCTGGGCCAATATCAGCCATTGTGGAGTGCGTGAAGGTCTTCACATCAATCGTGTACAGATCCCGCCAAGCATTCTTCAAGGCCAACAAGGCGTATGGTATGAAATTGGGATGACCATTGATGACCACATCCTGCAGGGGCACCTGGTAGATTATAAAAGTAAAGTTTATGTGTTATATACTATGATCTGATATATATATACATTCATGTATACTCATATTATTGTTATTTGTCATTAACGATTTTTAATAAAATTTTGAAAAGGTATACCATACAACATTTTTTGTAACTGGTTGATAGAAACAAATAAAGATAACATTGTTTTAAGGGTTATATGCAATTAAAAGGAGATATGATAACACTTAGTATAGTATAAATATATATTTGGAACGGAGCTACTACTGATCTCCAAGAGCTTCTCTCAAAAAAGACGCTTAGCAGTCACAACTATATCTCTCCGAAATTAAAAAACCAAATAGATTTCGTTAAAGTAATGTTCAATCTAGTAATTAATCAAAAAAATAAGCAATATGGATTTTTTTTAAAACTTAAAAAATAGATTTTTTACCAAAATGTCGACCTTAAATTGTTTATAAAAAGTATATATATTTGTCGGTGGGAAAAAACCTTTGATTAATTGAAAATCAATTTAAAAAGCTCGTGGCAGAATTTGAGACTCATCTGTTAAACAGTTTTTGAGTAATATTGGTCCACGACTTAAAAAAAACCTTTTTCAGAAAATAGCTTTAATGGTTTGTACTTTCAAGCACTCTGAAACGCCTCTTAAAATATTCGTGGAACGATATATAATTTTCTGGGTGTATTCCTAAACATGCATATATGAGTGCACTAAGAAAATAAAATAAAAAAAATATTTTTTTTTAAGTTCTAACTGTACATTACCCCTTAATTTTAGGGTTTCAGCTTAAGTTATCTGACGTAAATTATAGCAAGTTGGTGTAATTTAGCTGTTTTGGCATATAACTTAATTTAAATTGAAATATGGTTGTATATTACGAGTTCAGCAGAACAGATGACATAAGAAAGTTCTGCCAAAGTTTTTTTTTTATAAAGTTTTCCCGCTTATTATAATTTTGCTAACGACAAAATACTTAATACTTAAACTTATAAGATACAACTTTGAAACCAACTCCTAGTTATTTTGTTGCAACATTTTAAATGAAGTTAAATACATAGTTTAAACCCGAGTATTGACTTTATTTCGGATTTTTAGTTCTCACCTCCTTTAAGCCACCATTTTGGAAGGCAGTCGTGTGCTGGAAGGTCTTGCCACACACCCCGAGTCCCTTACGGATCTGTCCCAGCTGCTCCTTGAGCTCCTCCAGCTGCCTGAGCACCTTCTCCTGGCGCGCAGCCACCGATGCCGTGTCGTCCTGGAATTGGGTAACGAAAGAGGGATCGTTTTAGGGTACTGGCCACTGTGATCCATTGGCCAAGGCAACAAGAACAGAGAGCAGGCAACACAAAACCACTAACCATACAACATATAGACTGGTCATTTCATACGACGCATTTGGACACAAAAAAACGGACCGCGGAAGGTCCACCGCTCTCACAGCAGCAGGTCCATGCACTTCGTGTGCGTTCGGGTTTTTACTCTCTCATTCTTATTCTCATTTTTATGCTCGCGCACTCATTGCACGAGTTCAGTCGTTCAGTCGCAGAGAGGCGCTTTTTGAAGAAGGCTGTCCTGCGCTTGAATTCGTCTTTGTATGTATGCGTGATCATGCATTCTCATACACGGGAGCATGTGTGCGTTTATTTCATTTCGGCGCATCAAGAATATTTTGTCTTTTGCCACTTTTCAAACTTGGTACCCTAAGAATATGGGCGTATTTACTATTGGGTTATGATATAAATATTAATATTATATGTAACAATATATTTTTTTAATATTTCAGCATACATTTTATTTTTGTTTACAAATTCAAATCAGTGGTAGCAGTAAAATGTTTTACATATATGTATGTATTCGAATTTATAGAAATCAGTCCACTGAGATGGGAACAGGGCATATCGCAGTCGTGTCACTTGAAACACCGACTGCTCTTCAGTGGTTAAGAAAACTTCAAACTAAATCAATTCTTGTCGATGTTTTGCGAGCGGTTGGTGCCTGCATACCCTACCGACCGGCTTTTAGGACACTTGTTTTAAATGTTATGTTTAGTGATCTTTGGTTGATTTATTTTTTAATGATTCGCAGTGTTATTTTAATTGTCTTTAAACAATTCGTTAAAATTCAAGATATTGGTACAATTAAAATCTAAAATTATAATCATTAAAATAAATTATTATCATTAAAAAAATGTGGATTTTTATATTTGTTCCATTTACATTTTCAAAAATATAAAAAGTATTTTATTATTTATTACTTGTTTAAAGACAATTAAAATAACACTGCGAATCATTAAAAAATAAATCAACCAAAGATCACTAAACATAACATTTAAAACAAGTGTCCTAAAAGCCGGTCGGTAGGGTATGCAGGCACCAACCGCTCGCAAAACATCGACAAGAATTGATTTAGTTTGAAGTTTTCTTAACCACTGAAGAGCAGTCGGTGTTTCAAGTGACACGACTGCGATATGCCCTGTTCCCATCTCAGTGGACTGATTTCTATAAATTCGAATACATACATATATGTAAAACATTTTACTGCTACCACTGATTTGAATTTGTAAACAAAAATAAAATGTATGCTGAAATATTAAAAAATATATTGTTACATATAATATTAATATTTATATCATAACCCAATAGTAAATACGCCCATATTCTTAGGGTACCAAGTTTGAAAAGTGGCAAAAGACAAAATATTCTTGATGCGCCGAAATGAAATAAACGCACACATGCTCCCGTGTATGAGAATGCATGATCACGCATACATACAAAGACGAATTCAAGCGCAGGACAGCCTTCTTCAAAAAGCGCCTCTCTGCGACTGAACGACTGAACTCGTGCAATGAGTGCGCGAGCATAAAAATGAGAATAAGAATGAGAGAGTAAAAAACCCGAACGCACACGAAGTGCATGGACCTGCTGCTGTGAGAGCGGTGGACCTTCCGCGGTCCGTTTTTTTGTGTCCAAATGCGTCGTATGAAATGACCAGTCTATATGTTGTATGGTTAGTGACAAAACGGAGCGTGGATGCATTCTTTTTCTTATTTTTTTTGTGGTTTTGTTTTGGTTAGTCGGTGTGGTTTTATAAATAGAATTTCGCATATTTTTAGTGGCTGTAGTTGTTTGGTGGTCTTAACCTTTAGCAGTTGCTGTATTTGTCGGCCTAAAGAGTCCAAATCAAGAGCACATGTGGCTGCGTTTCGGCTTGTTTTGCTGCTTCTGCTGGCCTCCAATTTCTGGCAAGGATCACACATGCGGAAATGGAATGGATGGCGTTGATGATATTCGTTGTTTTTGCACTGTCCTTGCCATCCTGACCAATTGCTGGCTGGCCTGGTAAGTCAACTTACGCATGATGATGTGGACGCGGATGCGGATGAGGATGAGGAGGACGAACTGACCAGCGAATCCGCCGCCAGGCTCACATTCTTCAGCGGATACATGCAGGTGGGCAGCTTGATGTCGAATTGCGGCAGCAGGGTCTTCAGTTCGTACATTGCCTCGGCGGAATCGTTAGAAAAACACAATAATTTATGGAAATTGCAAAATGTGCTTGCTAGAGATGGCCGATTTTCGAAATTAGTTATGGAACTTTGGTATATGTATAAATTGTCTTTGATCCATGCACCTTACCCATCTCTAATTTAGCAATTTTGAACTGTTCCCACATTTACGATGAATGATTCACTAGTGCTGTATTGGAACTGTTCCCACACGAAATGATTTTAAACCGTTATTTAGCATAAAGGTAAAAATATTATTATGTTATTTTTTAAAGAATAAAAAAATATAGGAAAAGAGCAACTGCCACGTCACACAACAAGAAACTTCAGTCTTGAACATGTCTTTAAAGGTAAAGTCCACAGATAAAATTAAAAAAAAAACAATTGAAGAGCTCTTTTATTTAAAAATACACTCAAATCATATCTATAGTTTGGAGTAGGTTTTTTGGGAAACAAAAAACGATACATTCTCTTAAATATTCTCTTCTTACTCTTCGAGAGCCGAGAGCCGGGCTTAAAGAAACTAGTGTCGGGATCTATAAATTCTGAAAATATTTCACTGATAAACCAGTGCTTTTTGGACCGCCGTCATCGTCGGAAGTGAATTTTCTCTCGCTGAAATTTAAATATTACTTGTTTAACAAAGTTGCTTAGAAAAATATTGGACACTCGTGTGAAATAGTAAAGATTGCACAAAGGTCCACAAGTAAAATTAACTTAACTATTAATTAATAACTTAAAAAAAAAGTAATATATCGTGAAAATGGGAAAGCAAAACAGTGAGTTCAATTGAAAAACATAATTATCATATTGTGTTTATTAAATCTTCCTTTTGAAATCCCAGAATATAAGCCAAAGGAGGAGAAACCCGCAAATCCTGTTCCACCGCAATGCAAGTACAAGTGATCCAATAAATAAAAAATAATACTTTAAAACAATATGTTACAAGTTTGTGTTAGTAAAAGACAGTTTCTGGCGAAGACGACGAATAAATTCATCTTTTTTTGTGACTAAGCTGTCAGGGTTCAGTTTTTTTGACAGCCATTAAATAGTTCTTATCAGCTACATACATATGTGTTCAACAAAAACCCATCACAATTTTCGATCAGCAATCTATGCTGATCCTAAAAAAAAATTGTTAATAGTAATTGATCTTGAAATTTTTTTTTATGACAATGCAGCTGGTAATCAAGAGCTGGGAATGTGTAGTTTAGAGCCCAAAATTAGGTCTTTGGAACTACAATTAACATACTCTGTGCTTATCAGTGGCAAGAGTCAGCAATATACATAAATCAAGAATAAATGCTCACATGGGGTTTGGATATTGGATAAAATATGTTTTACACTGTGAAAAAAAAAAACTGTATACCTAATATTTTTACTCTGCTCATTTTACTTGGCTTTTCTAGTCGATCACCATACGCTCTGTTTTGTTTTAAAATTTGTCAAATAAATTAAATTATTTTACTTGAATGTGGAAATAAACAAGTTTAACTAACACAAATGTTTTATAAAATTTAAAATTTCATTTAACTTTTATTTTTTGAAAGGCAATACTTAAAACGCTATAGCTTAAAAGCTGTAACCCAACACTTTTAAATGTAATGTCGTGTCCATGCTATTAATAATTCTTTTAAAAATATATATTTTTTTAGTAAACGAGTTTATAAAGATGGAAAATTGTATATTATAAAACAAAGTATAGAAGAGAGGGTATACTCAGAAACTTTTGGAGTTAATCCTTTGATATAATGCTTAAAGGTGTGGTCAATCCATCGACGGTTTCCAGGGCACGACCACCTGCAACTGCACCTGTAGGAATCAGCACCAAGCGAGGAACCATCGGGAGAAGCGGCACGGTGGCCGTTAATTACCTGAATGTGGACATGTCCAAAATGCCGGCGAAGGCCTATCACTACGATGTGAAGATTATGCCCGATCGGCCCAGGAAGTTCTTCAGGCAGGCATTCGACCAGTTCCGCACCAATCAATTGGGCGGTGCGATTGCGGCCTTTGATGGCAGAGCATCCTGCTACTCAGTGGATAAGCTGAAAACAAATTCCAAGGAACCGGAAGTCACTGTAAGTTGAGGGTAATCAAACCAGGGCAAAAAAAAACTATTTTAAGACTATTTTGGTTTAAGAATTCGTAAGGTCGTAATCGTGAAAGTTCATAATTCAGACAGTCGAAAAAGTCGAGAACAATTTCCTTTCGTTGCGAGAAAAAAAGAAGAACAATCCAAATGTTTCCATTTTTCTAGGATAATATTTTTAATATTTAAAAAAAATAATAATAAAATATAATATAATAATATTTTTAAAAAACCATTTATATCTTTTTCATGGTACCGAAATTTCCAAAATTGCTTTCTATTTTATACAACACGTTTTTATATTTTATAAAAGATTTCTATGTTATAAATAAGATTTGTATATTTTACGGTTATTTAAATAAAGCTGAAAAAATATGTTGAGAAAATATATATTCTAGAAAATATATTTAGGGTAAGTTATTTTTAAGGGAAAGCTTTCCTATTATTAAGAAAATAGTTCCTGAAAACAAGTACAAAAAATACTTTTAATGGCCTCTTTAGTCTCCCATGTAAACTTAAGAAAAATGTTTTTGTTTTTAGAAAAAAAAATCTTCTGAAACTATACATTTTTTCTGGGATTAAGAAAAAATAATGTTTTTAATGCGAATTTTTATTTGTGATGGTACGTTTTACTTTGAGTATACGGACTTAAGAAATTAAAGTAAAAAAAAAATTCTAAAAGACTCTGAATAAATATGGAGGACCGAATTTCTAATATCTATTTAAAATATGTGCTTCAAGATGCCATTTGCGTAACTCTTCGCTGGGGCATTCAAATTTTATTTTATTTAAATTCAACACTGTTTCAATGCTTTCCAGGTGACAGACAAGCAAGGCCGAACTTTGCAATACACGGTGGAAATCAAGGAGACTGGAGACTTGGAAGTGGATCTAAACTCTCTGAAGAGGTAATAAGAAAAGGGATAAATATAAATAAAAAAGTACAAAATTGGATTTGGCATTTTGCAGCTATATGACGACGAGGATCTTCGACAAGCCGATGCGGGCGATGCAGTGTCTGGAGGTGGTGATGGCGGCTCCTTGCCACAAAAAGGCCATTCGGTCGGGTCGCTCCTTTTTCAAGACATCCAATCCGGGCGAGCGCAAGGAATTGGACGGCGGATACGAGGCTCTGGTTGGTCTGTATCAGTCCTTGGTACTTGGTGATCGTCCCTTCCTAAATGTGGACATATCGCACAAGTCCTTTCCGATTGCCATGCCGGTGATCGAATATCTGGAGAGATTTGTCTTGAAGGCAAAAATCAACAGCAGTAAAAATCTAGAGAAATGCGACGATATCGTTGAATCGTTCCTCAAAGGACTCGATGTGATTTACACACCACCCAAAGCATTTGCCAGCGCTTCGCGGGTCTACAAAGTCAATGGATTGTCGCTTAAGCCGGGAAGCAGCCAGGAATTCGCACTGGATGGCAAGATGACCACCGTGGCGGAATATTTCAAGAGCCGAAACTATAGGTTGCAGTTCCCCCAGCTACCGTGTCTGCATGTTGGATCTCTGACGAAGCAGATATATTTACCGATCGAACTTTGCCAAATCGAGGGAGGTCAAGCATTGAATGTGAGTATAACTTTTTATAATATATATTATAAATATTATAATATTTATAATATTTATATTATAATATTATTATAATATTGGTATAATATAATATACCATCAAATGCAAAAAGTATAACACATCAACTTGAAATCGCAAAAAATGATGGAAACTTTAATGCAAAACTTAGGAATGACATCTATGAAAATTTAATGATATGCGTATTAATAGAGTGTGAATGGAATATATCTTAAATAAAACTAAGTTTACAAATATGCTAAGATAAATCTATAGTAATAATACGAATAAGCCTTGCACCAAAAACACTGTTGTCCAGTGTAATTTTAAAACTTTAATCTTGGGTAAAAGAGCTTAAACTCTTGCATCGATATCAAGAACTATTTTTAGGTGATTTCTTTTATCAAACGAAAAAATATACAATTTGTAATAACTTTTTTTAATTTAAATCAAAAAATTCAAAAAGATTATGAAAGCTAAATTAATTTTCCTTGACCTACGATCTTTAAAAAGTATATAATATTAACAAAATGTCATAGGTATGAAAAAAAAGGGTGAAAAAATTAATATTTAAATTCTGCCAAATGGACAATTTTTAACCAAATCAAAAGTTCGTAGATCATTGTCGGTAGGACCCATTTAAGTTGATTGAGTGTTAATTTGAACTATTTTAGATGCTACCTTGCCGCTTTCACAGGATATTTTTGAAATTCTTAGCTATCAATAGGGCCAAAATGGATTTTTATCATAAGATATTTTTGAAATTTTAAATTATCAATAAGGCCAAAATAAAAATGAATTTTAAAAAAAAGTTACATTAGTAACGCTCCTTAAATAGCATTTTTAAATTAAGGATATAGACTTTCTGAATAGATTTAGGTTTCTTTTTCAGATATTCTATTCCATTCCCACAATTTTCTTGTTATCAACCAGAAGTTAATTGTGATTATTAAATATTTTTTTGGTTTTCGACAGCGCAAGGATGACGCCACTCAGGTGGCCAATATGATCAAGTTTGCGGCCACTTCGACGAACGTGCGAAGGGGCAAAATCATGCACCTGATGAAGTACTTCGAGCACAACAATGATCCGTGCATCAGTCGATTTGGCATTAAGTTCGCCGCCGATTTTATAATGGTGAACACCCGCACCCTAAACCCACCGCAAGTGGAGTATCACGGCAAGATGTTTTGCCAGGTGAGGAACGGATCGTGGAGCATGGGCAATATGCAGTTTCTGGAGACCAAGCCGAAGGCCCGCAAGTGGGCGATTTTGTACTATTATAAAGGCATGGCACTTTACAACAAGGTCAGCGAATTCGAGAAAATAGTGCTTGCACAAAGCGAGTCGATGAACATCAAGTTGGAGGCCAGGGCTTCAATAGAGGGATACAAGACCGATCTCGAACTGGACAATTGGTTCGGGGTACTGAAGAGCAAGAATTGCGATCTGGCGTTTGTGATCTTTCCGAAGGTTAAGAACACCTACGACTACATCAAGCAGAGGACCGAGCTGCATCATGGCCTCCTGACGCAGTGCATCAGGCAGGACACCTTCGAAAAAAGACTGACCTCACAGACCATTGCAAACATACTACTTAAGGTCAACTCCAAGCTGAATGGCATCAACCACAAGCTCCAGGATAATCCCCTCTTGAAATCGCTCAAGAACGCCATGTTCCTGGGCGCCGATGTGACCCATCCGTCGCCCGATCAGCGTGAGATACCCAGTGTGGTGGGCGTGGCAGCCTCTCACGATCCCTACGGCGCCGCCTACAACATGCAATATCGCCTGCAGCGATCGGCTCTGGAGGAGATCGAGGACATGGAGTCGATAACGATGGAGCACCTGCGTGTCTATCAGCAGTACAGGAAGACCTATCCGGAGCACATTCTCTACTACCGCGACGGGGTGAGCGACGGACAGTTCCCAAAGATCAAGAACGAGGAGCTGAGGGGCATTAATGCAGCCTGTGCCAAGGTGGGTTTTGCTATAAATGGTTTTTAAGTTAAATAATATACTGATTGATTGATTGATTGATTGATTTACTTCCAGGTGGGCATCAAGCCCAAGATTTGCTGCGTGATTGTGGTGAAGCGTCACCACACTCGCTTCTTCCCGAGCGGCGAGCCATCGCAGTACAACAAGTTCAACAACGTGGATCCCGGAACCGTGGTCGATCGCACCATCGTGCATCCCAACGAGATGCAGTTCTTCATGGTCAGCCACCAGTCCATCCAGGGCACGGCCAAGCCGACGCGCTACAATGTGATTGAGAACACTGGCCACCTGGACATCGACTTGCTGCAACAGTTGACCTACAACCTCTGCCACATGTTCCCCCGTTGCAATCGCTCCGTATCGTATCCGGCTCCGGCCTACTTGGCCCACTTGGTGGCAGCGCGCGGACGTGTTTACCTCACTGGGTACGGCTGAGTTTTAATGCACTATATTATCAGTATTCTATCACTGAGACCCTTTTATTTATGACAGCTCCAATAGTTTCCTGGATCTGAAGAGGGAATACGAAACGCGGCAGATTGTGCCCGCATTCGTGAAGACAAACCCCATGTTCTTTGTATAAGCATTAAATAAGGATCACAAATCGGAAATACAATTATTTCACTCTTTAACGCTTACAGTGAGCGTAAAACCAACATATTAATTTACAAATTTAAAAATTTTTAGCAAAAAAAAATTATTAGGACTAACTAATAAAAAATATATTTAAAACAAAGTAATTGGAAACGGAAAGTAAAGAGGCTAAAATTTAAAGGAAATAAACAAATATGGGTAGGATAAATGGAAGTAAGAAAAAAAAGCAAATTTTGACAAGCTAAAGTTTTCAAATACAAAAAAAAACAAATCGTTAACAAAGATATTTTGACTTTTTTGCATATCTGTTTAAAAATAAATAAAGCTGTCTATTTTCTGCTCCAAAAATTTTCATTTTTTTTAAATAAATGGAAAAAACAGCGAATATAATTTGTTTCGCTTATTTTTCCGATTGCTTTTATGAAAGCTATTTGGTTTATATGTCGACCCGGCTCTTTCCGATCTATAAACTACCTGTAATAAAAAGACAACTTTTGGGAAAGTTTCATAGCTTTAAAACTGAGAGACTTAATTGCGGAAAAACAAACGGACGGACATTGCAAGGTGGATTTTCCTGAAGGTGTTTATAAAGAAAATATATATACATATCAGAAATGTCTCCTTCATAGCATTGCAAACTTTTGACTAAAATTATATAACCCTCTACGAGGATATAAACACAACACAAATTACTTACCATAAATCATGGCAAATCACTAAGAATTAAACTAGGAAATGATCCACAGTCTATTTCATTGTTGCAAACAGTTAAAATCCTCTCGTTGCGTTTGTTTCAATTTGAATCCAATTTATTTGTATATCTATTTCTAGTTCTAAGCTATCTTCGCCTTGGGTGGCACTTTCGCGAGGCGCTTTATCCTGCTGTCCACAATGTGACGCAGTCGCCGGACCGGCTTGACCAGCTCGCTTTCCGTCATGGGCTCGATGACGTGGCCCTTGCGTGTGATGACCGCCGGACGGGTCAGCATCCTGAAGGCCGTCTCCGGCACAAAATTGCGGCCAATCGGGGCACGAATGCTGGCCTCGTAGTCGGCCAGGGATCGGAAAGGAAATGGGATGCTGGAGACCATGTGCTCGCGTGCCATCTTGCTGGCCGACTCGTTCACGTAAAGGTTGTCCTTGTTGTCGTCGCGTCGCTTTTCCGGGGCGGCCAGCCGGAGCAGGAGCCGCTTGTTGCGCCGCTCCATCACCGCCTGGGAGATGCCGGCGCCCGCCCATGAGCCCCATCCTGGCAGAGCCAGCTGCAGCTCTGTGTTCTTCAGCTCCGAGTCCTTGGTTTTGTCCCGATTGAAATCGGCAATAATGTCATCGTCCTCGAAGGCCTGACTGATGGTCAACTGGCGTTCGGCTGCCGCATCAGCTTCATCGTATTCGGCCGCCTCGTCGTCCATCAGAGCATCGTTAATGCCACTGGAGCTGGTCTTCTTTTGACTGAACACCAGTGTTGTCACCTTGTTGGGATCGATGGTGTCCACGGTGGGGTTCTTCGTAGTTTCTGGATTGCTCTCCAATTGGTCGGGCACTTTCTTTTGCGGCTCCTCCTTTTCTTCCCCATGATTTAGGGGCTCGTCAATCTCGATTTGTTGTTTTGTTTTTTTCAACGCTAGACTTTTGAGGTTCTTCAGGGCGTCCTTCTTTTTAGCCTTCTTTCCTTTGACAGGGGCTACTTTAAGTTTATCTACCCGTTGCTTTAGCTTATCCAGCTTCTTGCTTAGCTTGGCTCGCAGTTGTTCCTCGTGTTTTTCAAAAATATCTTCTATTGAACTCGCATTCGATTTTTCTTTGAGTTTTTTGGGTTCAACCTCTTCGACCTGCCAACCATTTTCCATTTTAACCTTTGATTTCTTAACTATTTTCTTGGCTTTTTCGGTTTTAACATTTGATTTCTTTGTGATTTTCTTGGCAGTCTTTGCTTTGGCTGGTGGTTTTTTCGGAGCTTCTTTCTGCTCTTCTTCGTCTTCAGTGTTTTGTTCTTTCTCCTCCTGCTCTTTAGTTTCCTGTTCATGCTCCTCCTGCTCTTTAGTTTCCTGTTCATGCTCCGCCGCTGCCATGTCTCTACGATGCTCCTCTAATAGCTTCTCATTTCTATTCCGTTTCGTCCAGTACTGCCGCCAATTGGAATCCTCACCCTCGCCATTGCCGTTTTCAGCTGTCTCGACGGTTTTTCGCTTTGTCCAAGGATTGAAGGGATCGTAATCGTTGTCCTCCTCATCAGGTGCCACTCTCTTCCTGCTGGATTCATCCTCTTCGCTGTCGGATTCCTGCTTTTTCTGGGTCAATTCCCTGCTAACGGCCAGTTGCTCAGCCAGATCCTTTCGCACATCCTTGTCGTATTTGGCGCGTACCTGCAAATTCTTGGCCCAGGTTCCAGTGTTCTTGTGCCGCAGACTGGCGCGCTCCTGCACCCGGCTCTTTTCCAGGGCATTGAGTTTCTCCAGCGCCGCCTCCGGATTCGTCTTCTGCAGCAACTCGAACTCCTTCATCTGCTCCAGGATCTTTTGGCGCTTCTGCAGCTTGTGGAACTTCTTGGACTTGATTTTGTTCTGCATGCGTGCCTTTGCCGATTTCTGGGACTCGCGCATCTTCAAGTAGGCCAGCTCTTTGCGACGGGCAAAGAGCTCATCTCGGGTGAGCTTCTTTTGGAGGAGTTGGCGCTCCTGCTTGGCCAGTTCCTGTTCATCCGTGGTGTCGCCAATTTGCGCTTTGCGCAGCTCACGAAGCTTAAGGTTGCTGGCCTCGAGTTCCCGGGCAAGATTGGATTTAGTTCGCGTATTCAGAGGACGGGCACTAGCCGAGGTATTCACGTAAATCGTGTCAGAATGTAAGGGAAAAACCTGGAGGGAGATTTTACGATTAGATCTCGTGCAATGATACCTAAATTGGACGCACCTGAGTCTCCGCCGATCGCTGTTGGGCCACCACGGCATCCCAGCGACCCAGCTTCTTGGTCACTCCCTCGTATCCAATGGTCCGTCTGATGCGATCCGCTGCTGGTTTCTCCAGCGGCTTCGCTAGCACCTTCCTGGTGCCCTGGACATTCTTCAACTTCTTGCCCGCCTCCCTGTGCTTGGAGGAGGTGCGCAGGATGTCCACCAGATCGTTGAGACCCACGGACCTGGGTGCCAGCTCCGTTTCCGCCGATGACACGCTTTTCATCAACTGGAACTCATCCTGGCGTGACTGGTGCTCGTCGCGGGTGGACTTATGGATGTGCTGCACCTTGCCCAGACTGCCGATGGCCTGGAGCAGCTTCTGGTGCGCCCTCGGTTCGTAGTGCTCCTCGTCGTCACTCATTTTTAGTGCGGAAATTCTCTCCAACGAAATAACAATACAGATTTCACAGCGCACGTGTGCAGCAGGGCAACAGCTGATTTGTTATCGATAGCAGATGGCGAGGTCCATCACTATTTATGGCTAAGCGTATGGGACATGGGTGTAGCCAAGGGGATTTTATTTTAGAAGTCTAAAAAGCTACTGAAGTTTCGAATTAGTTTAATGTTTTGTTAAATCTTGCATTTTAATCTTATGATTATAATTTTGATTAAACTTTTTTGGTAATCAAAAGAAAAATTTATTTAGCTGCTTGTTAAATCATTTTTACTGCATATACATAAAAAAATAATTGGAATATTATACAATGTTAATATGTATTCAACAAATCTGCATCGAAATATTTAATTAATTCTAAATAATTATTTTCTTGCTATATTTTCTATTTAATAAAAATAATTTAGACAAAACAGAAAATAAAATACATGGAGGTCGGCAGACCCCTTTTTGCTACGCCCCTTAAAGATGTTATCGATTGTCGCCCGGCGTAAGACCGGCTATCGATGCGGCTGTGAACCCTTTTGTTTACCATTTCGACTCTATATTTGACATGGCCGACACGAAATCGGGGCCCGGTCGGTATTCCGCTGCCGGCAGCAGTGGGTCCGGAACGAGTGGCCTGTCGCCCTTGGTCCAAGGACCGGAGAACCTGGAGTGCAAGGACTTCCAGGAGTATCTGCGCACCCGCCAAACACCGGAAACGCTGGAGAAGCTCTACAACTATCCGCCCATTTGCTTGGCCGTCTTCCGTGAGCTGCCCGAGATAGCCAGACAGTTTATCATACGGATACTGTTCGTGGACCAGCCGGTGCCACAGGCGGTGGTCACATCCTGGGGTGCCCAACGTTGTGCCAAGTGAGATTCTCTTTTGTAGCCTAAATCAACCCCTTATCATCCATTTAACCTGCAGGGAGCAAACGGAAGCCACTAGCTGCCTGACGGCACTGAATGTGTGGCGGGTCACAGCCATTCCTGGTGGTCTTTCGGCCTGGGAACTTTCGCCCACCTTCAAGAAGAGTGTGCGCCAGGTGCTGCTGGGCGGCGGAAAGCCTTGGCCCATGACCAACACGCTGGAGAAGGACTCAAAGCCGAGGGACATTGCCTTCCTGGACACATACGCCATGTCACGCTGGCGTTGCGTACTGCACTACATGGTTGGCACCGGCAATCGCAATGGCAGCGATGCGGAGGCCATTAGTCCGGATGCCGTGAGGATTCTGCTGCATGCCAATCTCATGAAGCGGGATGAACGCGATGGCATCACAATAACCCGTCAGGGTTTTCAGTTCCTGCTGCTGGACACACGGGCCCAGGTGTGGCACTTCATGCTCCAGTATCTGGACACGTGCGAGGAGCGAGGGATCAGCCTGCCCGAATGCCTGTCCATGCTGTTCCAGCTCAGTTTCTCCACGCTGGGCCGGGATTACAGCTCGGAGGGAATGAACAATCAGATGCTGACCTTTCTGCAGCATCTGAGGGAGTTCGGATTGGTGTTCCAGCGAAAGCGCAAGGAGGGACGCTTTTATCCCACCCGCCTGGCTCTGAATGTGACCAGCAAGGAGGCGGCAGCGACTGCCTCTGTGGCCACCGATGAGGAGGGCACCCAGGACAGTGGCTATATTGTGGTGGAGACGAACTATCGGGTGTACGCCTACACGGACTCACCGCTCCAGGTGGCCGTGTTGGGCCTGTTCACGGAGCTGCTCTATCGCTTTCCCAATCTCGTCGTGGGCGTGCTCACCCGGGATTCAGTGCGTCAGGCGCTGCGGGGCGGAATCACGGCCGAGCAGATTGTCTCGTATCTGGAGCAGTACGCGCATCCCAACATGCGCCTAGTGGAGTCGGCCATTCACTCAAAATCCTGCCTGCCACCCACGGTCGTTGATCAAATTAAACTGTGGGAACTCGAGCGAAATCGCTTTACCTACACGGAAGGCGTGGTCTACAATCAGTTCCTCTCCCAGACCGATTTCGTAACGCTCCGGGACTACGCTCAGTCGATCCACATGCTCGTTTGGCAGAACGAACGAACGCGCACCATGGTGGTGCAAAAGAATGGTCACGACGATGTCAAACGTTACTGGAAGAAGTACTCGAAGAGTGGTGTTTAACCCGGTCGCATTTCTTCCCTTCCTACAGCTTGTGGTCCGTCTCCATTTCGTTTGTAAGTTACTGTTTAGTATATAGTTTAATAAGTGTGCGGGAGATATAGCATCGACATATAACATACAAGAAAATGAATACACTTGAAGTACATATAGGTATCATATACAAGAAATTACACGAAACCAGTTTAAAGCTTGACCTTATATCGAAAGTTTTGGGGTGAGTCGACTTGTAAGATGGCCAAAACACAGAACTGGAACATTTTGAAAGCCAAAAGTATATACAATTTATGTGGAAACAAACAAATACGCGTTTGCCTAATTAAAATATAAACAACATATAGTGTTGTTTTGAATTGACAGGTATATAAACACACCTGTTTTCTTCTCCAGTTTTGTTTTGTTTTTCAAATAATTTGACCTAAAGGCATTAAGGAGAACACAAGTCGATCCACCCCAGCCTACCTAAATGCAAAAGGAAAGGAAGAATGCGGCAGAACTCAATACAAGATCGGCCGCTGGGGCATGCAAAGATTGTAGTAGCTGCCCTTGGTCCAGAAATCCATACCCTTCCAGCCGCACCAGCCTTTGATCTGGATGGTGGCCAGGTCGTCGGCCCCTGTGTAATGTGGATCCAGGATGAGGAACTTCACCTGACCCGTCTGCACGCAGTAGTCCACACCGATGATGGTGTGGGCCAGCACACCGCCACCGATCATCACCGGCGTGCCTTGCGTCTGGAAGTGCATGGCCAGTTCGGAGGCAACGGTGGCCAATTCGGCTCCGGAGGCAACGTGCTGGATCTTGGAGTCAACGTTGAGGAATCCCTGCAGACACATGCTGATCTCCGTGGAGCCAATCCATTGGGAGGAACCCACGAAGGCAGCCGGCTTGTCGTTGATCTTGTGCAGATATTCCTGCACCTCCAGATGCGTGGGTATCGGAGCGTTCGTGTAGCCCTGCAGCACGAACCAGGAGCAGATCGTCTGCAGCGAGCGGTAGGCGCAGCCCCAGCCCTTATCCTGCACCTGCTGCTGCAGGTAGTGGTAGTAATGGTAGTTTCCGTTCACCAAGTACTCCTTGCCATCGGTGACGCCACTGGGCCGGACTCCGATGTGGGTGTTCAGCAGGGGCGTCCACGGGGCGTCGTCCGTTTCGGCCAGGAAACGCACCTGATTGGCCCTGCGGAAGTAGGGACGACTGACGGGCAGAGCAAACTGGCGATGGAGTCGCTTGCGCCGCTCAAGTGCGCTCGGCTCATCGTCGCCCAAATCCTCCAGATACGCGCAGCTCACAAAGTGTCCGAACTCCTGCGGATAGAAGTGATAGCTGGCGGGCACCAGCAGCTTGCCCGTCTCCGATTCTGTGAGGTGCTCGATGAGGCTCAATTCGAATAATCTCAAAGCCCGGCAGATGCTCTCGATAAGTACATCGTACAGCCGCTGGAGCTTGGTCTTCCGGCAGAGGATGGCCATGGCTTCTATCTCCAATGGAACCTGCACGCGTGTCTGCTCTTCAGTGATCACGGCAATGCTAAGCGCCGGATGTGGCGGTGAATCGCGAGCCACCGGATCGCGGCTGCGGGATCGCATCACATCGATGGGGATCACCTCGTAGTCGCAGCCAGTGGGCGCCAAGCGCTTGACTGACGGACTCTGAGCCTTGCCCTTCTTCTTGTCGCCAGCGGGAGTATCCTTTTCGTTTTCCGGACTGGGGATGACATCGATAAGATCCTGAATCTGGGAATCGCCGGTAAACCGATTGTCCAGCGGACCGGAGCTGCTGATGAAGATCTTCGTTTGCGGCACATTGAAGACCAGATTGCCGTCGGCCACCCGTTTGCGCAGCACGTGCATTTCCCGGGTCACGGACTCCGGAGTGGCGGCCGTTTGCAGAAAGAATCCGCACTGCAGTCGGGTGAAACAGAAGTCGTTGTACAGCTGATCCGCCTCCATCACCTCGTAGGGCACCTCCTCCAGCTTCCCATGCACAAAGAACGAGGCGCGCAGACCCACCAATGTGCCCAGTTCGCACTGCAGCAGAATGGGATTGTCGGTGATGTCCACCGACTTGATGACCTCATTGAGGTGTGCCTCGCCATCGGTGCAGTCGCCGAATTTGACCAATCCGCACAGATCCAGTTCCGCCGGGAACCTGTGCTGGATCTGCTCGTAGTTCAGCTGGCCCAAACTGGACTCGATGTTGAAACTCAGGAGCAGTAGGGTTCCCTCCCCGTAGAAAACGCCATATAAACAACCACTGCACTGCTGCTTCGTTCGCTCCAGGCGCTGCAATCGGTAGCTCCTGATTACTATTTATTATTAAATATACTAACTAGAGTCTCACCTTGAGCAGGAATGCGGAAATCTTTAGCTTGGGCAGCATATTCGCGGTTAATAAGTTAATAAAAATGAAGTAATTCGGCCACAAGCGTAATTATTGCACAGCTGGCAATTACCTATCGATAACAGCGTCTTTGTGGCCGCAAGCCTATCGATATGGGCTCACAAACGGGGGGAATAATTTAAAAAACGGTATTTTCCAATTAAAGTTATTGAATAAATTCAATTACAATCAAGGTAAAAAAAATGACAAATAATTAATGAGAGATGGAATACTTTTTAATTAAATAAATATTGTTAAATTATAACTTTTAATAAGATTCTACAGAAATTTCGGAAAGCAGGATCTTTTAGTTTTAAAATTGAAAAAAATTAAAATTTAGTTTTAAAATTAAATAATAAAATTAATCAACCGAAAAGAAAATTGAATAATTTAAATTTTAGTAGAATAATGTTGTCACACAAATCTTAATATTTATTCATTCCGTCTCATATCTAAATAAAATTATAGAATTGAAAACGTAAATACTGTAATAGGTAAAATATGCTAAAAAAGAATAATTATAAAAGACCGAATAAATGTAGTAAGCACTCTAAAATTAAGTTAATTTGTTTAAAAAAAATATTTTTTTTCATAAACCGTTAAAAGATTAATTTTTACAATACTGAAAAAAATTAGCCTTCCTAAATTAAGTTAATTATTTTTTTTTCACAAAATAATCTCGGAAAGCCCTCTTTCCGTAGTGCACCAAAAACAAAAAAGAAAAAATGTTTTTTTAATACACACACATATAACATTTATTTAATATAGATTTTATATTGAAATCGGCATAGTGTATAGATTCGCAAAAATGTTTTGAACGCAACCCACATAGCGCGCCCTTCGCTTCACATGACTCTCCATCCGACTCAGCATCCGTAGTCCACAGTTCGTTAATTCTATCAATGTTTCACATTTATATACAGTACATAATTGCGTGGGTGCCTCTTAGATTTGCTTTAACTGGAATATCGTGCTTTATCTCGATTTGCTTTCGTGCCTACTAATTTACATTAAGAGTTTTCAAGCGATTTACCTTTTGTTTTCCTTTAGTTAGGACATCTACAGACTACTAGGTTTCAGAATTTTCTAATTAATTTCATTGCTAAATTGGTATGATTTGCGCAAAAAACACAAGCTTACTTCGAAAAAAGTTTAAAACGCAATCCCCTCGCTTTCAATATATATATATATATTGAATTCCTGCTGCTTCCATTTCCTGCCATCCATCCTCACATCCTCGCCAACCTCATTTCTTATGCTCATCAGCGATAATAGTTTAAACGCGAAATTTAAAACACAAGCATCCATATCCAGCACGACTGTTCTGGCGCTACTTTCTCTGCTTGCCAGCAGAAGTGCTTGAAGTGGCTCCCGATGCAGTGCCTCCTGCTGCTGTCGTAGCCGTCAAATCCTTGCGTGGTCCTGTGCTAATAGTCACGCTCGGACTGGCCGGCTTTGTCGTTGTCATCGAAGTTTTACACCCACTGCTCTGGGGCTTCAATTTGGGGGCTGCTTGGGACGTGCTTCTTCCTTAAAAAGCAAAAGGGTGTTTAATTTATTATACAAAGTGGAACCGAAATCATATATAGATGTATTTATAATTATTTTTAAAATTTATAATCATAAAATAAACCAATCCCCGAAGGTGAAAACAACTTAAATATTAACTGCGCCCATTTTTTTTTCGTCGGAAAATGCTTTGGAAAAACCATGATCATCACTGATATTTTTTTCCTAATCGATATAGGACGTTTTTAAATTTAATTGAGGAAAATTGATAAAAAACATATTTTTTTATACCCTTTACTTTGGGAAAAAATCTTTCTAAACATGTGTTTAATGACGTTTCCATAATCATTGGATTTGATTTAGTCATTATCACTGAATTTTTTTTTGGGAAGTAGTAATTACTAATAAAAAGGTTCGTTTTCAATTGGAAATAATTTTGAATGATTCAACCGTTTGTCTTTAATGACTTTTCCATATTCATTGCATTTGTTTAAATCGTTTAGAAAAAAAATGAAAACAAAAAATGTATATATGTATATACTTTAAAAAATCCTTCGAAAAATCCTTCAAAATACATTTTTTAAATTGGAAATACTCTCCGAAATTTTATTTTAATCGAAAAAAATTTTGAACGATTCAAGTGTCTTTTTAGAAAAAGTCTGACTAAATTTTTTAAATTTATTAATTAAATAAAATATGGTTAACTTTCTTTCTTTGAAATTAAAATGTACCATGAAGTAAACTAGAAGACTTCAGTCTTGCCGGTTTATTTAAGTACAATTTAAAAAATGTAACAACTAAACTAATAAAAATCAGTGGCCAAAGAAATTTGTATTTTTAACTTGTCTAAGAACAAAATAGATTTTTCCAAGTAGTTATAAAATTACATAAATTGATTGGAGCCTTTTCCTCCCATTACTTTGCATTAGCTTAATTATTTTGTATTAAATAAATTAAATTAAACTCACCCTGATCGACCTTCTTGGTCTTGCCAGCTGGCTCCATCTCTGGCTGCTCGGTGGCCTTCACCTTCGTTGGCTTCTCCAGCGTTTGAGTGGGCGAGGACGAGGACTCCCCCTCGGCGTACTCCTCGATGGCGGGCATGAATCCCTCGGACACACTGCAGCTGCTGTCCTGGGTGCTGGTGGGCGAGTCCTTCTCCTCGGCAATGCGCGGCAGAGGCTCACAATTTGTGGCCAGGGTGACCACAGCACTGGGTTCCGTGCCGGCGACGGTTGTGGCCACCACTGCTGCTCCAGCCGCTTGTCTTTGAGATTCCTCAGAGGCAACAGTCGCCAACTGAGGCTGAGGATGAGGCTGACTGGCCGGAGCACCTGCTGCAACTGCTGCGCCAGCTCCCGATGCATTACCGCCAGTCGTCGATCGCCAGGTGGTGGTCACCACCCGCTGATGCGTCGGCTGTTTGATGGGCGGCGAGCAGCAAAGTGGCGATATCTTCGTCTCGGCACTTCGTGGATGCAAGCGATCGGGTGACAGCGCCCGTCTCAGCAACGGAGAGCTGGGCTCTGCCGACTTGGTCCGGGCAAATCCTGCCTTCTTGCTGTTCGCACTCGCCGCCGCCTGCAGGGTGGGCAGCGTGCTTCCCGGACTGTAGGATTGCGTGGTGTTGGAGGCACCCGGCTGATGGCCAACCAGTGGAAAGGCCAGCGGCGACGGCGATCGTGTGGGCGACGATGGCAGCGGCGATGGCGAAGGCGTCCGCGCCAACGGAGACAGCGGAATGTGGCCAACCGACTTGCGGCGATTCGGCAGCGAATTGTTGCTCGTGGTGTGAAGGGTCTTCAGTCCTCCGGCGGGATTTGTGGCATTGCCGCCGCCCGCTATGACGGCGGTGGCCGCGTGCAGCTTGTGCTTGAGACCATGAAGAGTGGATGGGCGTTGATACAGCTGCGGAACAACGCCAGTGGGAGACACTATAAATTAAGAGGAATATATATGTATATATTTAACCATCGAATGGGGCATTCAATTTTGCAGTCATCCGCTACCTGGCACATTTCCTACAGAGGTGGGACTGCTGCCAACGACTGCTCCAACGTGGGGCAGTAGGACCAGTTGCGTGGGTGGCGGCGGAGTGGCCAATTGGACACTGAGCGCCGAGGGTGCAACTGGTGTCGATCCGGCTGCGTTGCCCCCATGATTGGAGTTACTCGAACCGGTGGGTGTGTTGGGCGATGACGATGAGGGCGAGGTGGATTGTGATGAGGAGTTGGCGGCCGACTGGCAGCAGCTGCTGCTATGATACGAAGAATCCAATGGCGACAGATTCCGGGCCGATGGCGTGGTGGGTGAACTGGTGCCAGCGGAGTACTAAAAGTCGAGTCAAATCAAGATTCAAATTACTACGCTTACCGATTTCAAAATAAATAATATAACTGCGTTTTAAGTGACGCCATCTTTAGTAATTTACATTAATGCTTCTAAGCTTCTAAAATAATAGTTTAGGTGGCGCCATCTTTTCAAATTTACATTTATGCTTACAACTTCTAAAATAATTGTTTAATTTGGAAGATTTTTGGACAAGTCGGTAGTCTTTGAATGGATCAACAAATAAAATTTAGTAACTGACATCTACCCTGTCTCAGAATGACAAATTTACATTAATGCTTCTAAACTTCTAAAATAATAATTTAGGTGGCGCCCTCTAAGCAACCTTTCATTTATGCTTACAACTTCTAAAATAATTGTTTAATTTGGAAGATTTTTGGACAAGTCGGTAGTTTTTGACCGAATCAACAAATAAAACTTAGTAACTGACAATTACCATGTCTCATAATGACTTGATAGACGTTCGCTGCGTAGGAATAACTAGAATCTGTGTGTCAAATCTCAAATCTCTAGCTTTTTTAGCTTCAAGCTTCTAGGTTTAAACTACTCGGCTATTGTTCCTGATCATTAACATATGTATATACTTTATAGAGTTGGAAACGTACAATTTGACATGTTAAAACACAATATACTATTTCGATAAACGTAGATTGTTTGGTTTAAATACTGACCATCAAAAACCATAGGCTAAATCTAAATCTAATCCTACCTGCTGCATCTCCGCATTTGCACGCTTGCTGCTGATCCGGCGGAAGAGCGAGGTCTTTCGCTTCTTGTCGTGCTCCCGCTTCGTTTGCTTCTTCTGGCGGTTCAGGCCCTTCTTGGCCAGCTTGCTCTGCATGAGATCACGCTTGCGGCCGCCACTCTGGATGCTTGTGTGCTCGAGGGGCGTGGCCCGCAGGGTGACATGCTCGCCGCCGCTAAGGAGCAGCTGAAGGACCTGCGTGTGGAACAGGCCCTGCACCGCTTCTCCATTGACATGGGTAATGAGATCCGCCGGACGGAGGCCAGCCTCAAAGGCCGGACTTCCCTCGTCCACGGCCATGACCAAATGATGCATCGTATAGAAGTCCGTGTCGCCGTAGTAGACGCGTATGGTGTGCACGGTAAAGCCAAATCCACGCGGTCCGCGTCGTATGATGATCGGTGGCTTCAGATTGGTGACCAGTGGCGAGAGCTCGCGACATGGCGAGGTATCCCTGGAGCTGGCCGTGCTGGAGCCATTGCCAC